CAATCCCCAACATCCTGTGATTCTGTGAAGAACTGAAAAAAACATTTTAAAAGTGCGATTTATTAGGAAAGTTCCCCCTGATCTTGAAGGACAGACTGTTGTGGTGCAAGAACGCAGCCAGGGACACTGGTTTGGAGTTTGTGAATCCAGAACGGTGTCCTGCACTGTGTGTTGAACCTCATCTGCTTTTCCCCTTCCTTCAGCGAGCGCCAGCGGAAGAGATCACGTATGAGACGCTGAAGAAGGCGATAGGTAAGTGATGGAGCTGGTCATAGTAGGGAGAGGTGGAGATTGGGGTGGTGGGTGTGTGCATGTGTGTGTGTGTGTGGACACTGTCACCCCTGTGTCAGTGCCAGGACAAGAGGACGTGGGCTGAAGTTGTGGCCAGGGCAGTTGAGATGGGATGTGAGGAAGAATTTCTTTGCTGCAAGGGTTCTGAGGCATTGGAAGGGGTTGGCCAGGGCAGTGGTGGAGTCCCCATCCCTGGAGGGATTGAAGAGTCGTGTAGACACAGTGCTGAGGGACATGGGTTAGTCACAGGGGACTGGTCAGTGTTGGGTTCATGGTTGGACTCCATGAGCTTCAAGGGCTTTTCCAATCCAGGCCATTCTGGGATTCTGTCCATATGTGCACACCATGGATGGATGAATCTCCAACACTTCACCATGGCACCATTGCACCCAGGTCACAGGGCGACCTAACAGCTTCACAGCTCTGCCTGGACCTGTCAGTGTTGGGGGATTGGTCCCAAATCCAGATGCTGGAGACCATCTCCTTGACTTTCTAGTGATGCCTAAATCCATACAGTCTGCTGGGGAGGTGGGGACGTGGCGTGGGGTGATCTTTGTGGGTGAGGAGCATCTGAGAGCCATCTCCCCCTCTGCTTCAGTAGACAGCGTCGCCGTGGAGGAGCAGGAGCGAGAGAGGAGGCGGCAAGTGGTGGAGAAGTTTCAGAAAGCCCCATTCGAGGAGATCGCTGCCCACTGCGGCGCCCGGGTGAGTCACAGCACTAAATCCCCACGGCTCCTCTGCTGGGGAGAGGTGGACAGTGACAATGTCACTCTTGAATTTTACCAGGCCACCCTCCCCATGCTCTGGTGACCAGGGTGTGATTGTCCCCTTTGCTGTGGTCCCCAGGGTGCAGTCACACTAATACAGCCTCTGTGTCTGTGTTACAGGCGACGCTGCTGCAGAGCAAACTCAACCAGATCTTCGAGATCACCATACGGTGAGTTGGGGTGACAGCTGAGCACACGCCGTCAAGTGTGGGGTGACTGACCACAGTTAAGTGCTGGCTGTGGGGCAGTGGGAGCCACCTGTGTCCCTCATCAAGGAGACTCATGTGCTAGGGATGGGGGTCAGCCTGGGGCTGGGGTCTTTGTGAATGGCAGAGGGGACAAGGTGGAGGGACGGGACAGAGGCCCTCTGCTCCGCTCTCCTGAGACCCCACCTGCAGTGCTGCCTCCAGTGCTGGGGCCACCAACACCACAATGACATGGAGCTACTGGAGCCAGTGCAGAGGAGGCCACGAGGATGATGCGAGGGCTGGAGCAGCTCTGCTGTGAGGACAGG